TCTTTTTCTTTTTTTTTTTTTTTTTAAAGGAATTCAATGATATCTTATGTGATTTCCTAATTTCATTTCTTTTTTTTTCTTAAATATGGAATATTTTAAAAATAACTTTTCTGCAAATTGTGTTTTTTATGTGACTCTTTTTTTTAAGATTTTTAATAAAATAAAAGAAACAAATTTTAATATTTTATCAATAGTATTATCAAAAAAAAAAAGTATCTTATTCTTTTTGCCAAAATTTTTTCCTTTTTTCAATTATTTGTATAAGAAGTAAGTAATAAATTATGGAAGTAAGTTATCAAGAAAGAAAAGAGTTAGGAAAAAAGCATAAAATAAGCGGAATAATTAATGAAATTATGTGACATTGATTTGCTAACTCATAAATTATTTCAATGAATTCGTAACACATATGTTCTTTATCAAGTAAATAATCAATTTAAAAAAAATTTTTTTTTTATATTAAATATTCTGTTAGTTGTAATTGCGAAAAAAATAAGCAAGCATTTCATATGTTGTACTGATATTAAAATTTTGGCTATTATTGATCTTCTGATAAGATGAGAAATAATGAAATTACATTGATATCGTACTTAATAAGCGATCATATTCGATGACATAAAATTAATTTTATTGTTTATCAGATGAACTTATATTAAAAATATTGCAAACAATATTAATTTCAATTTCTTATGTACTTGAAAAATTTGTAATTTTGAAGTTTTTTTTTTATTTTTTAAAAAACTATTTGCATTTTGAAGACGATTTGTGAATTTTATAATTTTGGTGCATTGTGATATTATTGATGTTATCAATTTCAACTAATTGCTACATCTCTTATCGAATATGTAAAATAGTTCGAGTTAAAAATTTAGTTGAATATAAGTTAATTTTAACAATAATAAGTCAGAAGAACGAAAAGAGAAGAATGATATTTAGCATGCTTGCTATTATTGCCATTTTCTTGCATTCTTGCACAACATGCAATATATAATTAGTGTGCTTGCAGCACTGCAAATTATTAGCATTATATTAAAGATATGCTAATATAAGCATTAGAAAGATATTTATAGCAAAAAAAATTACGAAATTTATGTAATTTGTTGGAATTTCAAGTAATTTTGAAACTTTTATCGAGAAAAAAAAAGCATTTGCAGAATTTTTACTCCATCACAATGATATAATGATAATTATTTCGCTCACTTAGCAAATAATCTAAAATTTGCTATTATCAAACCTATCAATAAAAATATTCTTATCAGCTCACAATTTTCTTTTTTAATTAGCTTAATCTATATTATTCTATCCTTTAATTTTTAAATTTACATGTCGGCCAAAAGATTCTGCATTATAAACAATGTTAGTTAATTAGCCACTTCAAATTTTCCCAACACAAAGGAAAAATTTTTGAAAAAACCCAATGAATTATATAATGAAATCATTTCAAATTATAGAAATTATTAAGTACATATTGTATTAATATTTGTTGTAATGCAATAAATTCATGCAATTTTAACAATCATTTACTTAGGCCTATTTCATTCACAAATTTTGTAATGATTAAATTACTAAAGCATATTAAATCTCGAAAGTTATATACATTTGTTATTTATGTTTGTTATATATATATATATATATATATATATATAATA